CAAAAGGATATAGCAAAAATTAAAGTAAATCCTTAATGTAGTTCACAGAACTATTCTAACTAGAATATTTAGCCACATGACACAGTACAAAGTAGTGACAGGTTAAAGTGTCGTGTTGCAGATGTGAAAGCAAATATATCGACAGCATGAGAGTAATCTTTGTGAAGTTAAAGAAAAAAGTCACAGCTCATCAAAATATGGTATTAACGAATAACTTTGCTTGATCTCTGATTCTTTAGGATTGATTAGTTTAAATCTGTGCTTGAATTTAATCAATCAGACTGCTATTGTTTGGTCCAACATATCAAAAAGTATTGTGCAATTCACATACAAAATGTATTCTCACATGCACTGCTTCATTGTTCTTTTGTCTGCTGTTATTAGCAGCAGCTCAACAATAAGAACATCTTTAAAAAGTTAAAATGTTAGATTATGCAGACAATACAGTACTGACACTGCTGCTAGAAGAAGAGGAACACATGCTCTGATGTTGAATCACATTGCCTAATGTCCATTGCCTCAGGCCACAACATTTCACACATTGGACACCAAAAATGCTGATCCTCAAAAGTACTGAGGCCTTCATTCTTTTGTCCCTTATTTACCAAGACCAGTTAAATTTTCACACATTCACAAATATCTACCATTAATAACAAAAATCATTTTCACCCTTCCTCACAAGATCCAGAGCATGTTGTATAATTCTGGCCATAAGATTATCTAGTACGGTGGCCTGAGTGACCAGTGCAACCTGTTTATATCTGTCTACCCCAGATTACATCTATCCTATGCAAATTGGCATCCTGGTAAATGTTCTGTCATGTCTTGAGGAAATTAGGTTACATGCTTTTCCTTAAGTATGGGGGTAGAGCCAATAAGTGGTGGCCTAACTCAAGTGTATATGTACAACCTGTAATATGACAGGAAAAAAAGTTTGACTTCATGTGATGAAAACAATAACTGGCTGTAAACAATTTAGGTAATGACACATTCACCAATGTTTCTTTGCATACACAGGCCTGGGACTAGGGCTGCACTGACCACCACAACAAACACCACAGTGATACGCATCACGACACAAGCTTCATATGATATGATGCAATTACAAAACACACTAGATGCGCAACACACATTTTTGGTCAATGTTTACCTTACAATGTGTTCTAAAAACACAACAGAAATGATGAATAAACAAATAAGGATAGAGAGAATAAAAGTGACATTTTTATTTACATTTACACTTAACATACAAAAAGATGAATTAATATTATTGGGGAGCATCTAAGAACAATATTAAAGGTGTGGTTTGCTCAAAAGTGCTGGTCAGAACACAGAAGCAGAAGAGTGATCTTTGCGCTTGTAATCACAAAAGCAGCAGTCATTATTTTTGTGCACATATGAAAGTGAAACTAGTTCTTGTATATAACCAACATCAAACATGCCAGAAAGATGAAAGATGAAAGATGCTCACTTCATTCACATAAACACAATAACAAATTAAAAACAAATTTCACTCCAAGCCTGGCATCAGATGGTCATTTAGCTGGACAATGCCCAAACATCCAATCTGAAAGTTCTAGTAAACTCATCAAATTTTTTTTTTTAAACACACAGGCTTCTGCAGCAGCAGATGTCAAAAACAAAGTGAAACTAAACTTTGTGCATGCTGCTGCTGCTTCCTGTGCACGCCTTCAATATAAAAGCCTCGCACTAACATAGTTCACATAGGAGGGTTCACTTGCATTACTTTGTATTGGCTGCAGTTTAAGGATACGCTGTATGGTGTGAAACAAATCAGCAAACAGATTTTATACATTAGTAGACCTGTAGTGATGAACTGTTCATGTGGCTCGTCTGTTGGTTCTCATTTTATCGTCCCGCATTTTCCTTAGCTCTTTTTTTTTTTTGCAACTGGATACAGTAGAAAGGGACTGGAGTGAACCATTTATAGCTTTTTATACAAATAATAAATTGAGTTTAATCCCAGCAGGATGTATTAAACATCGCACTCTAAGACTTGCAGTGTTGGGTTCAATATCAATGATACAGCAATCACTGAATCGCAACAAGCTTATCCATGATATAGTGCTGTATCAACACTTTGAACACAGATTTAGGAGACCAGTACCAAGTCTCTGTCATAACCACACTTACTTCCCTTGTTTTCTTTTTTTTTTTAATCCAATGCAGCCAAGTGAAGCACATTTTAAACAAAATGTGAGAACTACATATTTCCACACTGTTGCCACTTACAATCCTGTCCTGTGTTCATCAATGTGGTGTTTTATTCTGGGGACGCCTAGCAAGCAGCAGAAGTGGTCACACGTGCACAAAGTAGTTTTAAGCTTTGATTCTGTTTTTGGCCTCTAAAAGTATGTGCAAAACTCCTGCAATGGTGAGGCACCAAACACTGGGCAAGCAGCAGGCTAACCTTTCTGACATACCAACTGCTTGATTTTTATAGGTTCTGTGAGTCTGGCAATTACGCATGTCACTGTATAAATATATCTGTTCAACGACAACCCATCACACACAAGCAGAACAGGAAAACAGCCTATTTATGAGGTACCAGATGATGTTCTTCCAACCACTACTCAGTCAACATAATAGCTTTCCTGGCCTACTTTACAATAAAAGAGATGCCACTGGACAGAAGAGTCAGTTGCGATTCACAGTCAAGAGTAGTTACAATTACACCTGTAGACATTCACCACAGAATCATGATACAGAACATAATGTTTTGTAAAGGGTTTGTGAACCACAAGCAAAAAAGCAAATAGAAATACAAAAGTCAAAAATTTAGAAGTCAAAGATAAAACTGGTAAAAGCAGACAATTTTCTGGACTTGAAGTGCAAAATGCTGTACAACAACCAATAACAACTCAAAATCATCTTCAGAAAGTCCAGATTTAGAAAGAAACAAAGAAGCATTACCATTATTCCTCTCACTTTCAAAATTAAAAAGCAAAACTAGTCTGATAAAGGTGGTTGTGCAAAAGGTTATCGGTCCCGTTGTTCATATGAACCAATTTCCCCTGGAAAGCACTTGTGCCAATCAAACGTTGGTTAACATCAAGCCTAAATAAGGTTCTGTGCATGAGCAGTAACACAAACTACAACAAACCAGTCCATCGCTATTAATTTTCCTTTAACTCATTCATTGTAATACATACATCTGCACAATGCTCTCTGTAGGCACCACCTCACAGGGTACCCTGACCCAAATACCCCACAGTCAGTTTCTTTACCCTGCAACATTTCACATCAAACTTCTCTGAATAACTCTGTGCATCTCAACAACTAAATTATTGCAACTGGCCTTTTAATTCATGTTGATGGACCATATATACATCCCACAGAGTAAAATAAAGGTCAAACAAAAAGCAATGATGTATTTTACAGGAGAGTCTGATGAACCTTCACAAAGAGGAAATTTATCTGGAAACAGGCGAATAACACACACCAACCAAGTGCAAGAAAACTTGCCAACCAAAAGTTAAAGATAAAATGCCCCGCAACTGAAAACTGTTAAAAACTGAATAGGAAGAGCTCACAGATTTGTGCCAAACTGTGCATGAAAGGGTTTTGAGATTAGTCCTCTGAATTGCACCATGCTTCATTTAACTACATATAGGTATACATAGGTATAAACAAAGCCATTCAGAGTGGTTTGATGTGAAATGGTTAATTCGCAGATAAACATATTGACTCAGACTTCTCTACAGCGGTGTTGTGATAGGAACCAGGGGTCACCATGTCTACAACACAAACTTAGCCATTTTATTTACTGCCCAAAACCACCAGTGAACCTACATGTGTCTTCTGAGTTTTTATATGTAATGTTGATAATGACACTATAGTGGAAAATCTGGAGGGTAAAAAAAAAAAGTTTTCTTTGATGGCTGTTTTGCCATAGAACACCCTTATTGTATCCCTCCAAAAAAACAGATTAAACCAAATTGATTAAAATACGTTTGAGGCCACAGTTTTATCACGAAACAATGCAACTGACCTCAGGCTGAGTATTCATAACCACTTCATGTAGTAGTGCGGGAGCTTTCAGAACCATTAAACTCATCAGACGTCTGGTTCCCATCACCACAATTGTGAACAATTCCGTTCTAGAAAATGTTCTCTAGAACGGAGCATTTCACACCAAACCAATCAAAATGACTGTATTTACATCTTAATCGTTTAATTACGCAGAATTTTTGTAAAAACGGTGGAGTTTGCCTTTAAGAAAAACTTACCTAGCTTCAAATAATAGAAATCAGTATCATATAATAACTCGAGCCAGTCTACAGCGTACTCTTGCGTTTTCTCAATGCAGAAGCCCACAGCTTTAGCATAGTTTTTATCAAACACGTCTGAAATGCACTCGACCATATTAGCTAGCATCAAGTATCTGCCACGAGAAAACATCACTGGTTGTGAAACAAACGATGCTTCTTGGCAGCCAGAGTTTAACACACTCTACACCAGTCCGGCCAGCGCTGCACCATCCCGCACTGCTAAACTGCCCAACATGTTCAATAACTCTGCTTCACTGCAAAGTAAACATTAACCATCAAATGCTTCAGGCAAATGAACAGCGCACGTTCTAGACAACTGCGCTACGTCTACACACGAACTGAAACCATACAGCAACGGCGAGCTAGCTAGCCAGCTAGCTAACGTAGCAACCGAGCATAATCTGGCAGAAACCTCATTGAGTTAGCCAGCTGGCTAGCTAGCTCGCTAACTTGCAAGTGAAGTTATACGACTGTTATCTGACACTATTCCGACGACAGAGTTTACACGAGTCTCTCAGCTGACCAAGCACATTACTGGTTCAACGTGAAAATGTTTCTAAGCTAGTTTAACAGTTCTAAGCTAACTATCTAACTTCCCTAATCCAAATTCAGTCATTACGTTAGTCGTAGCACGCTAGCAGGCTACGCTGCTAAGCTAACGTTAGCTGACCACTGGCTGTTAGCTATTAAGACCGTCTCGGTACTCACACTTTCGCAGCCACTTTATCCAGTGGCGCACGATAACGCTGTGGTGTTTCTTGTTCTCGATGCACCAGGTCGACAGTCCTTGAATTGACTCCATTGTGTTTGTTACTCCTTGAAAACGGCGGTCCAAGGTCGACTCCAGAACAGCGGTCGAGCCGCGGCTATTGCCGCTCACGGCTTCACCTCCAGCCGCCATTTTCAGGCCCTCTGTCCTCCTTCACTGTCTCTTGTGTTTGCTGGGCTGATGAGTACAGAAGCCCGTTTCCGCCACTGGGAAAAAAATATGTAGGCACTCAGTAAGTCATTATAACGAGAAAGTTTTCCATAATTATGACTTACTATCTCGTAATAATGAGAGAATTTTCTCATAAGCACAAGAAAGTAAAAGTTATGAAATATCAAGTCATAATAATAAGATATTAAGTCATAATCATTAGGTTCAGTCTCATTGTTATCAGATGCTAGGTCATAATTGATAAGTCACAATTATAAGATAGGTTCTCATTAATATGACAGTCAAAATTATGAGATACTAGGTCATAAATGTAAGACAGAATGTCATTATCATGAGATTTTAAGTCATAATTATGTGTAAGTCATTATTAGGACGCAGAAGGTAGTAGATACTAGGCCATAATTATGAGATAATATCTCATAATAATGAGATACTAAGACATAATGATGAGATACTAAGTAAAAATTCTGGAAAACTTCCTCATTATTGTGACTTACTAAATGCTTGTATATTTTTCTGGTGGTGGAAACGGGCTTTCATAAATGAGGCATCCTGGAACTAAAGGTTAAGGTCACTCTGGAGTGTTTAGTTTCTCTGGAAACTGTATGGGTGATTACATGACTGGGGTGCCACTTAGTCCTTGTAACTTTATTTACATTTTTTATTATTTTTCAACATTAATCTTAATAAAGCATTTAACTATTCAAATGTATTAACCCAACTCAAGCACAATCTCTTTTTTCGTTTGTTGGATGATGGCTTGAGTGACTGGGTGTAGTTTTGAGCATAAAATTAGCAAATATTGATAAATAAATGTGGTTAACTGCATACACGCTCAAGGTACGAAGACATTAGTGACATTCTAACACTTTACATAAAATTAATCATTTACTTTTAATCTATAATTTGAGTAACACTGGTTTCAAAGTGGCCTCAAGAGTCAATTTCACTAAAATACATTGAAAATAGAGGAAAAATAAGGAGCTATTTTTTTCCTTTTTCTTTTGATCTTCCAGAAATGCAGATTATCTTTAATTCCGGTTGAACATGTGACTTGAAGAATATTTCAGATAGGGGGAACATGTTCAGGTGACAGGGCTGAGTTTTGGATGTTGTGGGAGGTAAGCTGTACATTTTCTTAACCTATAATGGTTGATTCATTCAAATTACATAAGCTGTTCATGACAACTGACATAAACCTACAAAAGCATTTATAAAGGCTTATTTCAATAGGTGGCAGTTGTCATAAAGACTGCTTTTGTCTACTTGTCACAGTGAGTCCTTGTGAGTTCTTGGGACTTTTGGCTTGTACATGAAGAGGTTACAAAGGATGTTTGAAGCATTAAATGTTAAATGTATTCACACATTAATCCAATAATAAGAAGAATTTTAAAACATGTTAATGAATGTATTTTAAGGGATATTAAACTGTAGTCATAGTTGGCCAGGATGGACCAAAATGTAGAGGTTTTATTAATGTTTTAAGTCATTGCGGCGTCCACCACAAGCCACGCTGCCATGGGGAGCTCGGAGAGTGTGGCCATGCAAGATGGCTCTCATGAGGCGCCACACTTCATTATTTCTACTCTTAGGAACCGAGGTTGTAGGAATAGTTTGGCAAAAAAATCTATTTGAGAGTTTTTGGGCAAAAGTACTTTGGATAGCTAAAAACAGTGTTACAAAAACTCCTGTAAAATTAACTGTAGAATAAAATATAAAAGAAAAATTAACAAAAATAAAACCACAGGGAATGCTGGGAAGCTCCATGACCATTACAACAATATTCAGAAAAAAGAATGCTCAAGACTGCAAAAAGCACTTTCCAAATATATTTTAAAAATAACAGCTAATTACTGTAAAATTCAACATTTTAATTTGTTTGACAAGCAGCTTGACGTGTTTCCAGGATGCACCTTTTTTTTTTTACAACAACGTGCTGTATTTAAGGAATACAGTAGATTACTGTAGAATTTCTGTTGTAAGTTTGAGGCAAATGTGTGATGATTTATGCAAAGTAATTGGTGGTCATAAGGTTTCATTACTTGTTAGCTACATTAACCTGAGATTAAGTGCAAAACTAAAGAAACAAAATTCAGGCATCAAACATACTTTGCCTCATCAACTAACATTGGATTAAGGGGAAAAAATGAACTTTGTGGAACTTTCTAAAGGACTAGACTAAGACCATTCTCAGCTCCAACAGACTCTGTGGCACAAGGGTATGAATGTATTTTTAAGGAGGAATAGAACAATGATATTTAGTCACTCTATAGTGAGAGAGTGGCTGTATGAGGAACAGAGTGGGTAATTTGGGCACGTGTCAGTAATTACTACCATCCAACAGGAGCAACATTGCCTTAAACATTAGCTGAGATTATCTCAACTGTGAACGTCACTATAATGAAAGACAGTAAATATGTAATGGCTTTGGGCCGTTTACATATTCCCAACACGCTTACATACTCCCAAGACAATTGATCCAACAAATCAACTCATTAACAACCCCTTGTTTCGCTGAAGTGGATGCGCTAGAGTAGGGAAAACACTAAACTATGCAGGACACTGGGACTCCAGTAGTCGTGGGCAATATGGTCAAAAATTTAAATCACACTACAATTGCAATTTCTGCCAATTTCGGCATATATCATTGCATATACGTATCTTTTCAAATAAAACTTTTTACTTTTGGTCAAGTTCATAAGGCTTCTTGAAAATTACATAAGCTGTTCATGACAACTGACATAAACCTACAAAAGCATTTATAAAGGCTTATTTCAGTAGGTGGCAGTTGTCATAAAGACTGCTTTTGTCTACTTGTCACAGTGAGTCCTTGTGAGTTCTTGGGACTTTTGACTTGTACATGAAGGCAGGTGTGGTTTGCCCAGTCTCCACTTTCAGACCACATTGTGCTAATATGAGGTCCTTGTTTCTGGTACATGGCCAACTTTTCGGCCCTGCAGTGAAAGAGGCCTTAGGGAGACGGACACAGGCATCTGAAACATGCCACAAGTAGGAGAGATAAGGCCCGACAGCTACCTCACCATTCCACCCCTCCTCGCTTCCACCTCCCCCACCCCAGTGTAATTTTTCATGGGTCTTTTTCACTCCGCTACAGCTGGTTTGTCACAAGTTGCACATTCCACTGAACGTACTAGAGTTCACATGTCAACATTTCATCAGTTTGTAATGGTCCATCAAGGTCTGCCACATCACATCAGACGAGTCTTTGGGCCATGTTGATTTCTGATCCAGGGATAGCCCAAGCAGTTCTGTTCAGGCTGACACTGGTCATAAATAGCAAAAGCCTACAGTATGTTGGAGTGCTTCACTTGCACAGCATGCTGACTGCAGCAGCGCAGTCATTCAGCTTGGTCAGCTGTGACTGCGGCCATTCCAAATTTGCGTTATACACCTTCGACTCCACCCAGTTCGACACAGACACACCTTGGTCAGAATTACCTGTCAATGTGTATGCGCCCAAGACTGTGGAGAAGTCTGGATGTTCTAACCAATGGTGTACATCTAGGCATGAACCCATCACGCAGAGTGGTGATCACCACAGATGCTTCCCTCATAGGTTGAGGTGTCTGGAACAGCCAGGGCATAAGCGGGAGGTGGGCCAGTGCTTACCAGTTAGATAATGCCAACGAGCTTCAGTTAAGCGTAGCCCTCTTGACCTTGGCATGCTTTGCGTCAAACCTATCATGCAAACATGTTCTTGCTCAAACAGACAATAATCACAATGTTCCACATCAACAATGTAGGGGGCAATCAATCAAGCAGCCAATGCGCTTTCCAGTCATAAGATTTTTCAGGGAAATTGGAGATTAATTTCAGAGGTAGTTCAGATAATATGGAACATGCATGGCGGAGCCGAGATGGACCTGTTTGCAGATGCTCATTCAACACGCTGCCCTCTCTGGTTTGTGACGAGTAGTTAAAAATGAGTAGACAATGGCTTTACACCTTTTCACTTTGTCACAGGTGTTTGTATAAGCTTAGCTATTATTATTATTATTATTATTTTATTTTTTTTTTATTATCATTGACATTGTCAGCATTTCCTTCATGAATTACATATATATGCTGTAACTTTCTATTCTTTGCACTTAAAACTCATCTTTCGGTCATAATTTATTACATTTTAATGTCATTTTCAAAAAGCAGTATAGCACTAATTACAGTTGTAATGTCTGACATTTTATAGAACTGAAATACCAAAGCTCAAAGGTAATTGGTTTGTATTGCAATACTTTTTACTTAAAGGATGCCTTAGTCACAAAAAAAGAAACTAACCTATGCAGGATTACGGCCCTAACAGCAGCTGATGGTCATACGTACACGTGACATAAAATGACTTTAGGCCAAAAGGTGTTGAATTTCGAAGAGGTTCTCATAAATTAAAAGTCTACAAATTATTTCTGGAGGATGGTAGTTGGGTTGAAACAAGCACCCTGTTTGTTGATTAACTTTCCAAGACAGTTACTCAACAACCAGCATCAAATTAGAATTGCACTATAATGACTGCCTCGAATCACTAAGCGTTGGCTTAGACCAGTACACTGTGCTGTCACGTGTCAACAGTAATGTAGTAAAGTGAGGTTTACTACACTGTCATGTTTCACTGTAATCCTGCCGAGCCTTTTTGTGTCTAAGGCATCCTTAAAGTCAAAAAAGGACTCAAAAATTACTGTGCCGTCTGCCATGCACTACGCTGCTGTGAGGAGCTTAGGGGGTGTGGCCATGCTAAGTGGCTCTCAGGAGCCACCACACTCCCAGTGTAAAATGGAGACATTTGTTGTTGTTGCTGTTGTATTGTTGTTGTTGTTTGGTTGCTAGCGTAGTTAGTTTATTTGTAGTCAACTGTGTTGCTGGAGGGCAGGCTTTGGTATGAGTTTGTCCAGTGGTTTCGTGTCGAGCTGTTTCTTGCTGTCTGTTACTGTGCCTTTTTTGAAATTAAAAGAGCGTTTGCCCAATCATGCCAT